TTTCCTTCCTTTTGTCTCTTTCTTTTTTTTTTCTTTTTTTTTTTTGTTGGTTTTTTCCCAAGGGAAGGGAGCTCCTTAATGGAGATGAAGATGTAAAGGTTTTCTTTTTTTGTTTTTTAAGTAAAATATGTGAGCTGTGCTGTGAGAGAGCATGTTCATATTAGCAGAGAGAGAGCTCTCGTTACAGATCCCCCCACCCTGCCCCCACGAATGCAGGAAGCCGGTGCTCGATCCTCTAAGAACAAAAGGTGGTACCACCGTCCTTCCCGGAAGATCCCGGAGGCTGGTGGGGAGAGCTGTGTGAGCGAGGAGGAAGGACAAAAGTCCAGGATGGACTAGTGAAGAGCCAAGACCAAAGGAGCCAGAGAGGAGGCTTCCCCGGATGCCTCTCCAAGCTGAGCTCTGCATGTAGAACTTGGGGAAGTTCATGTCCTCATAAAAACATGCCCTGGGTCTGACAGGCACAGCTAAGAGTACTGTTACCTTCCTTCTGGGCTCTGTTCGCAGGACCTTCCAGACATTGCATGTAGTATGGGGGAGGGGAGAGGAGGGGAGAGGTGGGGAGTTGGAAATGTGAAGTTGGGAGAAAAACCATACATGGTCTCTGCCTTATGGGCCCATAAAGAGGCCATAAGTTAACTTGGAAAATAAAACCCACATAGGATGAAAACAATGGAAATTATCCCCAGCTTCCAAGTCAACAGACTCGTTTCCTGATTCATCTCCCCACATTGTCTCTTAGGAGACCCAGAGAGATGCCAGCTCCCATCTGCTTTAATTATTTTGTGATGCATTTCAAGAGATTTGAGATTTCTAAGAATCCAAAAGATGGTCTGGCCAGAAAAGTTTTTTTTTTTATTTATTTCTGAGAGAGAGAGAGAATGAGAGAGAGAGAGAGAGACAGTGTGAGCAGGGGAGGGTCAGAGAGAGAGGGAGACACAGAATCTGAAGCAGGCTCTAGGCTCTGAGCTGGCTGTCAGCACAGAGCCCGACGTTGGGCTCAAATCCATGAACTGTGAGACCGTGACCTGAGCCGAAGTAGGGCGCTTAACCGACTGAGCCACCCAGGCGCCCCAGAAAATTTTAAAACCCAGGCAGTGGGCTCTCGGCCCACCAGGATGCACACCCCAGGAGTGGTACCCGCGTACACCACGCTGATCGTTGCCGCTGGACTTTAATTGGCTCCACACAAGGCAAAGGGCACAGGCTCGGTCCCTGGGAGGCTGCGTACAAGGAATAGAGCAGTTTGCATCCTCAGGCACTGCTGGTGGCAGGTTGCCTTTGCCTTTGGAGATTCTTCTTTCCCCACTTGGTGAGGATTGTAGAACAGGTAACGTCTGGTAGTCAACCCTGGTGGTACATGAGAATCACCTGCTGAGCTTTGGAAACAAACAAGCAGCACATTTACACCCTGGATCAAATGAGTCGCAATTGAAGGGAGTCAGGCCAGGCAAAGCCTCCCAGGGGATTCTAAAGGCTGGATGGGTTGAGTCCTTCTGGGCTTTCAGGAAAACTCTCTGTCTCCACCTCTGTCCTTTCTTTTCTTTCCCCGGCTCCCTCACTTTCCTTCCCCCCTTACTTCCTTCTAATGAAAACTTGTTGTGACAATGACTTACTTATTTCCCCCAAAACACCTATACTCTCCTTCTAAACACTGCAGTGTTCTGTTTCCAGAGTTTTCTAGACTTATAGGAGCCTTGTTTTCAATATGTGTATTCATAGTTTGGCTGTACCTGTGGGCCAGCCTGGCCCTGGCCTTGTTGGAAAGAGAGGATTAAGAATCACATAATGAGGGGGGCGCCTGGGGGGCTTAGTCGGTTAAGCGTCCGACTTTCGCTTTCGTCATGATCTCGCGGTTCGTGGGTTCGAGCCCCGCGTCGGGCTCTGTGCTGACTGCCAGCTCAGAGCCTGGAGCCTGTTTCAGATTCTGTTTCTCCCTCTCTCTCTGACCCTCCCCTGGTCCCACTGTCTCTCTCTCTCTCCTAGAAATAAATAAAACATTAAAAAAAAAAAAAAAGAAAACCATTAAAAAAAAGAATCACATAATGAGAGGCACCTGGGTGGCTCAGTCGGTTAAGCTTCAGAATTCAGCCTAGGTCATGATCTCTCCATCTGCTAGTTCAAGCCCCGCGTTGGTTGACAGCCCGGGGCCTGGAGACTGCTTCTGATTCTGTGTCTCCTTCTCTCTCTGCCCCTCCCCCACTCACACTGTTTCTCTCTCTCAAAATAATAAACATTAAAAAGTCACATAATGAAACTGAAGATACTTGGGGCAATGATCTTGCATTTCTTCAGTGTCTTCATAGGCACCTGTGTCCCCTCCGAGGCCCATTAAGGACACCACGTCCTCACTTCATGCCTTCAAGACTGATAGATAAAAGCGAGCTAGACAACTTTGAGTGCTGGCAACTCACCAGCCCTGTGCTAAATACATACACATGGATGAATAAAAAACGGACTACATTTAAATATTGTAGCACGAGATTTAAATTTTTTTAAATGGGAGCGTTTGAGCTGAGTCCCAAAGACTGGGTAGAAATGGACAGGACAAAAGAGGGGAAGGCGATTTCCAGGTAGAGGTGAAAACGAGCAAAGGCTGAGAGGTAAGAAATAGCACGTGCCCCTCAGGGTCTGTATGTAGCTCGGTGGGACTGACTTTTCTCTTGTCGGATGAGGACTGGCTGTTGACTTAACATTACCAGGCCTCTCAGTCTCCCTCATCGAGGGCATTCGAGGCTTTGATTTCTGGTTTAGGTCCTTGCTTGGGCCGGTCTTTCCACCAAAATCAAACTGCACCACAAATTTTGTGTGTTTCTTTTTGTGATGGGGGGTGGTTTTCCTCTGTTCCCTGCAGTTTGGCAGGCATGCGGTTGGGAAAGGATGGGGAGGGATCAAGGGAACCCCATTTTAGAGAAAAGGAAACAGGCACAGGGTTCGGGCGACTTGGGCAGGTGCACACAGCCAGTCAGGCCAGTTATGCAGAGCCCGCATAAAACTGCTCTCTCTCTTTCTTTTTTTTATAAATTTTATTTATTTATTTTGAGGGAGAGAGAGCACAAGCAGGTGAGGGGCAGAGAGAGAGGGAGAGAGAATACCAAGTAGACTCCGCACCATCAGCACAGAGCCCAGTGCAGGGCTGGAACCCACAAACTGTGAGATCATGACCTGAGCTGAGATAAAGAGTCAGACACAACTCACTGAGCCACCCAGACACCCCCACCCCCATCCCAAATCTACTTTTTTTTTTTTTTTACATTATAGTAACTATGTATTAATTTTTTTTTTACAAATAGTTTATTGTCAAATTAGTTTCCACATAACACCCAGTGCTCATCCCCACAAGTGTCCTCCTCCATCCCCCCTCCCCCCCACATCCATCAGTCCTCAGTTTTTGTCAGCATTCAAGAGTCTCTCATGGTTTGCCTCTCTCCCTTTCCCCCACCATTTCCCCCCTTCTTCTCCCCCTTGTTCCTCAGTTAAGTTCCTCCTAATCCTCCTATACATGCAAACATAGGATATTTGTCCTTCTCTGCCTGACTTATTTCGCTCAGCATAACACCCTCAAGGTCCATCCATGTTGCTACACATGGCCAGATTTCATTTTTTCTCATTGCCATGTAGTATTCCATGGTATAGATAAACCACATCTTCTTGATCCATTCGTCCGTTGATGGACACTTAGGCTCTTTCATGTTTTAGCTATTGTTGAAGGTGCTGCTATGAACATTGGGGTACATGTGCTCCTATGCCTCAGCATTTCTATACCCCTTGGGTAAATTCCTAGCAGTGCTATTGCTGGGTCCTAGGGGAGTTCTATTGTTAGTTTCCTGAGGAACCTCCACACTGTTTTCCAGAGGGGCTGCACCAGTTTACATTCCCACCAACAGTGTAGGAGGGTGCCCGTTTCTCCACATCCTCGCCAGCATCTAGAGTTCTCTGATTTGCTCATTTTAGCCACTCTGACTGGCGTGAGGTGGTATCTCAGTGTGGTTCTGATTTGTATTTCCCTGATGAGGAGCGATGCTGAGCATCGTTTCATGTGTCTGTTGGCCATCTGGATGTCCTCTTTGGAGAAGTATCTGTTCATATCTTCTGCCCATTTCTTCACTGGGTTGTTTGTTTTTCGGGTGTGGAGTTTGGTGAGTTCCCCAAATGAAGCTACTCTTAATCCGTACCCTACATCTCTCCTCTAAAGAGTGGAGACTACTAGCCAAGCTGACACAGAGTGTGTGCTGGGTTCCGCGCGTGGTCTGAGGCGTGGCCCGACCCTTATGTGAAAGTAAGACACAGCCAGGGGTGTGCCGGGAAATGCTTTGCGCCTGGCTCACAGAAGGAAGGAAGCATGATTTGTCACATTCGTCCACATCACTGACCACAGATTTGAGAAGAAATGTGCACAGCGAATGGAGACAGGCAGGCTGCAGTTCACCACCAGGCATGGCCTTTGCTCAATGGGGACTCTGTGGCCATCGGCCACCACGGCAGGTGCCATCAGGAAGTTGCAGGCCCGAGGTTACAGCAGAATGGAAAAGAGGAATCTATCTCCTGAAACAGCGGGAATGTTGAGCGGCTTTGGAGATCTCAAGTCGTGCTCTGGGGTGGGGGTGGGGGGCAAGGATTTGTATTTCAGGACTCGGACAGCATGTCCTAGAGCAGGCAGCCATCTTGAGGCCTGAGGTCAAGGATGGGAGCCTGAAGGCTCCTAAATATCCTCATAAATATCCCCAGTCATCTTCCCCAAATAATGTCCTTCACCTCAACCACCTCCCCCTTCGTCTCTTCCCACCGCAGGTCACGCACAGGTCTGCAGGTTTGCTGCAGAGGACTTCCTCCTCTCTCCTCCCCACAGACCAGTTTCCGTTCACGTGCTCGCACACTTGTCCCAGGCTGCCTCTGCGGACCTGGGCAGCGGCCTCACAGAGCGTCACAGAGCCCGTAAGGGGCTCCGGGACTCTGCTGAGGGGAAGATGCATGGTGATTCTCTGTGTCCCCTCTTTCAGGCACCAGCAGTGTTTCTATGGGGTCAACCTGTCCAGTCTCCGGGGGGCTGCCTTGGACGAATATTTCAGACAGCCGATAGTAGTAAGTGTGTTTCATTCCAGGCTTTCCCCCATGTGTTAATCTATTGATCCGCTTGCTCGCGCTCCTGGGAGGCATGGTTCTGCCGGGCTCTGCGAAGCCGTCACAGAAGAGAAGAAAGAGCTCCTTGGAGTCCTGTGTTTTCCAGTCTTCTCAGCTCTCATCTTCTAATCAATTAAGAACATTCTCAGAGAATGGTGCTGTCGGAGGCAAGGAGACTTTCTGAGTGCCTTTCAATAAGGAACTTCTGATTCTCCCGCTACCCCAGCTCACCCCGTGTACACACTCAGCCCTCATACTTGGTCAATAATTCATATCTTCCCATTGATTCTGGTGGCCTGAGGCATAAAGGAGGAAGCTTTGTAAAATAAATAGCTTAGAACAGGAACTTTGCTGTCAAACAGATTGGGGTTTCAGTCGTGGCCCCATCTGACTGTGTGACCTTAGACAACAATAAGTTTGCATTAACCAGAACTGGCTTAACTACTGGCCCTCAAAAGCTGCCAAGCCTGAAGCTAGGGACCTCTTGTAGGGGTTCAGACAATGTCACCCGACTCTGATTCTTCTATCCTCATAATTTATCTCCGTTACCTCCGATTTAACCCTGTTCTCAGATAGGATCTCCCCCTCATGGTAGCAAAATGGCTTCAGGACCTCCAGCCTCAGATACTAACAACTCTTTAAGTCCCACAAGAGGACCTGCCTTTTTCCAATAACTTGGGCCGAAGTCCCAGGATTAGTCTGGATAGAGCCTAATCACCCTCCCTTGGGTCACGCTTCTGCAAGTGAAACTATATTCAGAGAAAAGTAATGCACGGGTTGGCCAAGCTAGGGTCACAGGCCACACCTGGAGCAGAAGGTAGAGTAAGTTTTTCTGGAACGTCTTGGAATGTAGAAGAGCAGTAAAATCTGGAGGGATGCCACTACACCAAACACCTGCTCCAGAAGCATGGTGAGGCCTGAATGCTACAACCTAATGAAGTACTTGGCCCTCAGGAAAGCACGAAGCACTTGTGCTTGATGTGTAGTAAGTGTGAAATAAACGTTAGCTACTAGTAATTCTCATTAAGCTCATGCCTTCTAAATGCTAACTCTTGTTGACCTGAAACTTCAGGAGGAAAGCCACTTCACAGTCTTGCTTGGGTCCAGTTAAACCTGACAGAAAGATAACGCCTTTGCTTCCTTTCTCCCAAGGACACATTTGACGTTAGGATTTTGATGGCTCGGACAGTCAAATACACAGTTAACTTTATGGATGCGGAAGAAGCGGATCTGCACAGGTTTGTAAATATCAGCATTACCTTTGGTCTATAAAGCCTCCTCCACCTTGCTGAGCCCCAAAACCTCAATGCATGGGTGAGATCTCGGGTGGGAGTCCCACACAGGGATGGTATATCAATACTAGTTCCGTTTTATTGCAAAACATGAATAATGCTGCTGCTTTCGTAGGTTGTTCTGAGAGTTGAATGAGAAAAGTTGAGTAGTAATAGCTTGTATTTCTACAGCCAGTCAGTGTGCAGAGCCCTTCATGTGTAATGACTCATTCCATCCTCACGACACTGCTCTACAGATGGAACTGTTGTTACCTCAATTTTACTGGTGACAAATGTGAGACAGAGTGGAACACTAGTTAGCAAAAGATCACAGAATTAGTATGTTAAAAAAAATTTTTGGAGCAGCGGCAAAAGTATTAACGCATAAGATTAGAAAGTAAGAACAGTAGGAAAACTCTCTTTATAGAGAGGGGACATTCAAAAGTGAATGCCCCCAATTTTTTTTAATGTTTATTTATTTTTGAGCAAGAGGGAGAGAGAGCACAAGCAGGGGAGGGGCAGAGAGGGAGGGAGACACAGAATCTGAAGCAGGCTCCAGGCTCTGAGCTGTCAGCACAGAGCCCCATGTGAGGTTCGAACCCAAAGACTGTGAGATCATGACCCGAGCCGAAGTCAGATGTTCAACCGACTGAGCCACCCAGGTGCCGCATGAGTATGTTAGACCTGGGATTTGAACCATTCAGAAGGCTCCAGAGCCGGGGCTGTTTGCCCTGTTAGTCACTCAGGCCAGTGCTTACAAGTATGTCAGGAAGAAGAGCTGCAACTGGTTGGGTGCTTACTAAACATTAGCTGGGCTAAGTATTTCACAGCCACTGGCTCATTTTCAAAGAGGACACTCAGTAAAGGTTAGTTTTGCCCTCCTCGCCTTCAGTTGAAGAGACTCTGAAATGAGAACTCAGTCCTCAGATGGTGCTATGAATCCCCTTTGGATGATTTTTCACTCCTTGGCAGAAGATGACTATGCATATTTTGGGGGGGTACAAACTTTAAGACCCAGCCAAGTTGTCATCTTTCCTGGACTACTGAGGAAGCAGGGGCCAGACTTGAGCAGGTGCAGCTGGCCAATGCAAACTGTCAGCCGTCTGGCGCCGACAGTGGACAAGGGGTGCTGTGTTTAGTCAGCGCAGGCTAGGACTTGCAGCAGTAACAAAAAGAAACCTTGAACCAGAACAGATGGGCCTAACCGGCTGTGCCACCCAGGTGCCCCAAGAGACTGTTAACCGTAGAGAACAAACTTGAGGGCTACTGGAGGGGGGAGGGGCCAAATAGGGGCAGGGCCTTAAGGAGGACCCTGGTGATGAGCACTGGGTGTCCTATGTAGGTGATACATCACTAAATTCTACTATTTAGAGACCAGTACTACGCTCTTTGTTAACTAGCTTGAATGTAAATAAAATCTTGGACAGAGGGAAAAAAAAAGAAACCTCAGTTGGCTTATAGCACAGGAGTCTATCTCCTCGACGCTGTTGATCTGTTGTGCCCAGATGTCACTCTGTGTAGCATCACCGCCCTGATGCAGCAGCCTCTGTTGAAAAGGGAGGGAAAAGAAGGAGCGTGCTGAAGTACGTACTGGTAATAAAAGCTTCTGCCTGGAAATGACCCAGATCACTTCTCTTCTGTTAATTGGCCAGAGTAAGTCACATGACTAGGCTTGAGCCTGGCTGAGTGGATACATGCCATGTTACCTTATGCTCAACCCAAGAGAACTGGCGTTTGGGGACACCTCCAGTCACCACCGCAGGCCCAGACCAGATGGACTTCTGTGGACTTTATTTGCTGGCCTGGGCTCCCTTCTGAGTCCCAGGGAGTTTTTTGAAAATAATGCCTGTGTTGGCTTGTCACCTGTCATTCGGCCACTTTGTGTATTGACTCAGCAAATGTTTATTGAGATCCTCCCATGTGCCAGGTAGAGTGCTGGTGCTTGCACAGGCACAAAAAGTAATTTTTTAAAGTCTACCATTGGGTGGCTCATCAGCTGAGCATCCGACTCTTGATTTCAGCTCAGGTCATGATCCCATGGTGGTGGGACCGAGCCCCACATCAAGCTCTGTGCTGAGCGTGGAATCTGTTTAGGATCCTTTCACTCTCTGTCCCTAGCCCCTGCTTGCTCTCTCTCTCTCTCTCTCTCCTCTCTCTCTCTCTCTCAAAAAAAAAATAAATAAAAATTTAAAAAATATTTAAAAGTCTACCCTTAAAGAGTTCATAGTCCATTTAGGGGAACGCAAAAACAATAGGAAGAAATGATGGCAATGCAGTGTCAAAAAATTCAGTGTGATCAACACAGTGGAAGACTCCAGAAATGCTCTGACTGCCACAGGGTGAAAAAAGTTACAACTTTGGGGGGCACCATGAATGCAATAAGGTACCACCTCCTTTGAAAATCCTTAGAGCACTCACTGCAACACATCTCCCCTCAGCAGTGGATGAATAAGACCATCTTGAAGTTGTGAAACACTTTTAATGTTTGCCAAGCACTCTCGTTCACATTTCCCCATTTGACGCACCCAAGAACCTTGCAGGGGAAGTCGGAGAGTGCCTTCGTCACCCATCAATGGATGAGGAAACTGAGGCTCAGGGGATTTAAGTGGCTTGTCAAGTAAGCGCCTAGGTCTTGTTGAGTCTTCCCCGCTGCTCCCAATCGTTGTGCGTTTGGTATAAACCATGGCCGCTCTGGCGTGACGTTCCCCGTGGCCTGGTCGGAAACTCGTGCAGGGTTTTGTCAAGGCACAGAACTCCCCGATGTGCGGCGTCACCCAGGCATCAATCACACGCTGAGAGGCTCTTGCTGCCAAGGCAACCGCACTTAAGAGAAAAAGAAAAGATTCTCTGGTTTTCCCGCTGATCCCACGAATGTATCTAGTATGCCTGTCAACAACAACAAAATAATTCCAGATGTTTCCACTCTCTCTCTTTCTTCTTTCCTTGCAGAGTAGAAATCCCCTTTGTGTTTCACATGACGCAGTCCGGCCTCATCCACGGCCTGGCGTTCTGGTTTGACGTGGCCTTTGTTGGATCCGTGTAGGTATCACCCGCGTCCTTGACTGCTCTGTCCCACGCCATCCTCTGCAGGCTGTAATCATGACTTGAAAGTGTTTTGAAGTTAATTTCAACAACAATACTCGTTTCTCTAGGTTCCAAGGAAGCAAAAGCACTTTTAGATTTTAGGGCAAAGTCAAAACGAGACAGTTTTCCATAGTGTCCTCTCAGCTCTGGCTAAAATACCATAAAAGCCTTTTAAGCCAACTGCATTGAGATTAAACAGGATGAGGAAGGGTCTGGGCTACATCAGCCCCCTTGGATTTTTCCAGAATAGAAGGTGGGAAAGACCCCCAGCTCCTGCCTCAGCTTCCGTCACGTCATCCTGGCTAGAGAACCTCTTGTACCTGGGTGGTCCCTGGAATCATTTCTCCCCTGTCTCTGTCCACACCTCCAGCCTCACAGAAGACTCCAGAGAGTTCTTCTTCAATGATCAGGCAGGCATATACCGCTACTGCTAATTGCAACATGAGGTCATTTCATCGTGTCCTCCTTGACCTTCCTAAAGAGCTTGAAAACTTCAGAAAAAAGAGGAAAAAGACCATCTACAAGCTGACTGTCCACATTTGGTGTTCCTCGTCAGGGCTGTGCCATTCCCATACCCCCAAATCTCTGCTCTCCTCCTGACTCCCCTACTCTCTTGCCAGGCCATCTCAGGCTCTGACTAGTGAAGACGATGGCTCTGGGTCACATGACGGGGCCAAAGGAAAGCTTTTGCATTACACCCCTCTCTCCTCCTTATAAAAGCGTCCAGCCTCATCTCCTGCTCCAGGAGAACAGAAGTGTCCCTGGGTCTGTGATAAAGCTCAGGGAGCTCGCAGGGGTGGGGGTGCTCAGGGGAGGAGTGGATCCCCGGCAGCCTCGTCTGGGCTGACAATCAGAGAAAAAGGAAGTGATGCTCACATCATGCCTACAGCACACAAGCATATTTGTTCAAGGAATCCGCACGTTTGTTTCTCAGACTTTCCCCCAGTGAATCCGTTCCTGCAGGGGTGAGGGAGAGAAGCTGGAAGGGGCCTGCTCCGAGGGGGGAATTCCTCTGAAGTAAAACACTTGATCCTACAAACCTTTAGAGAATTGGCATCCTACTCCAGAATGTGCCTGAGTTTATTTTGATAGAAGAGTGATTTATATTACTTAGCAGTTAAATTTTGTCAAATGCCCTCCTCCCCCCCCCCCCCCACCCCACCCCCACACCACCAACATCTTCAAATCAAAATGGACCCTGTAGGAATCGGCCATGTGCGTAACGCACACCTTACTCCACCCAAGCCAGCGACACGGTCGGCTGGGTCACCAGGACAGGTGCGCGTGGGGTTGGAGACACGGCCAGGTGTTCTCACGCCTTCGAATGAAATGAAGAATGCCCGTGCAAACACGCTCACGCCCGCACACACGTGTGAGACGGCCAAGCTGGAAGGACACCAGAGGCCATCTGCCCCAGGGCTTTTCTCGCCTCCAGAAGCCATCTCAGGGCCCCTGAACAGGTTGGCATGAGACAGTAGGAGGCCAGACTCCAGACTTGTTACCTTGAGGGACATGTAACCGACTCGGTTCCCAATTTAACTCTGTTCCTTGCTGGGCTTCTAATGAACTCTGATCCAGAAAGACAGACAGATGGGTCCCCCAGTGGCCCAGTCCCTTAAGTGTCACCCTCTTGATCTCGGCTCAGGTGTGTGGGTTCGAGCCCTGCATCTGCTATCCATGCAGAGCCTGCTTGGGATTCTCTCTCTCCCTCTCTCTCTGCCCCTCCTCTGCTCGTGCTCGCTCTCTCGCTCGCTCTCTCTCTCAAAATAAATAAACTTAAAAAAAAGATCGATAAAATGGCCAGATCCACAGGTTTGAAGCCTGGCTCTTCAGCTGCCCTCTGTGTGATGTCATGTCCTTTACCCTCTCTGGGCTGACTTTAGTTAGTGTATAGTCTTGGTGGGAGAATAGATATAAAGCTTTTGGTAGAGCCCCCAGCACACGGCAATGACCTAAATTGAGCTGTCCTTACCTTAAAAGGATTCCATGAGTCAAAAACTCTGCAAACCAGCGATCAGACTAAGTCCCCAGTCCAGTCCATGCCATATGGCCCTGGAACGTAACTGACTTTTAACTCTTCTCCCGCCCCCCAGGGTGACTGTGTGGCTGTCCACAGCCCCAACCGAGCCTCTGACCCACTGGTATCAGGTGCGGTGCCTTCTTCACACTCCCCTCTTTGCCAAAGAAGGAGAGACCCTCTCAGGGAAAGTGCTGTTTGTAGCCAACAGACGGTAAGCCGGGAAGTACCGACTACTGGGGGGGGGGGGGGGGGGGGGGGGGGGGGGGGGGGGGGGGTGCAAGCGGTGGGAGCATTTCCAGCACCTAGAAATGGGCAGCAGACGTTACAAAAGCCCGGCTAACTCTGCGACCAGGACCCCAGCAGACGTCTTCCTTGCAATGGGGGTGGGGGGTGGAGGGGGGGTGGAGGGGATGAGTCTTGGGATGACTCAAGGGCAGCGTTCTCCACCTGACCGCGGGGAAAGGAAGGGCATCCGTCGGCTCGTGGGAGCGCCTGCCTGAATTATCAAGAGCTTGAAATCCCACATCAGCTTCCTGACCTTCCTCGCATCTAGCCACACACACCCCCAAATTTAGTACAATAAAATCTATTTGTTCCCCAGGGGACGAGCACAGCAGGGCGTTACGTGGTGTCAGGCGGGGCTGGCTGCATCCCTTTGCTAATAGATTTCACGAGGCCTCTCCTCTGCAGCGATTACTTCGATATATCTCGTTTTTGAAATGCTCTATTTTCTTTCAACTTGTTGGAGCTTCTCCTGGGTAAATCAGGGCAGAAAGGAAAAGCGGAGAGGTTCAAGGACTCTCAGGATATGAAGGGCACTCAGAGATCATCTCACTCCACTCCCTTTTCTCCCTACCTCTGCCTCTTCTCGGCCGTGTGCTTGAACACTCCCGTGATGGAGAGCTCACCACCTCACATGTCAACCCTTCTATTTTTTTTTTTTTTTAATGTTTAGTTTCGAAGAAGAGGGAGACAGAGCACGAGCTGGGGAGGGGCAGAGAGGGAGACACAGAATCCGAAGCAGGCTCCAGGCTCCGAGCTGTCAGCACAGAGCCCAACGCAAGGCACAAACTCACAAACTATGAGATCGTGACCTGAGCCAAAGTTGGACACAACCGACTGAGCCACCCGGGCACCCCAACTTAAAAAACATTTTTAAAAAACCATTGATGGTTTGATATTTCGGTTTCTCCCAATATCCCCCCTCCTTTTTTTTTTTTTTTTTTGGCCACTGCAAAAAATCCTGCACTCAATATCCTTGAACATAAAGCTTGCACAGCAATGAGACTATTTCTGCGTGAGACCCCTAGAAGTGGAAATGCTAGATCAAAGGGTATGCACCTGTGACACTCTGATAAATACTGCCTTTCGCAGTGATTGCACCAGCTTCCACTCACACAGCAATGGATGGCTCTGCTCGTTTCTGCACTTCTTTTCCCTGAACTGCATGTTCTTGGTCTCTGGGACTTATGCCACTAGAGACGTGTGTGCACGTGTGGGGGAGGGGCAGAGAGACGGGGAGAGAGACAACATTAAGCAGGCTCCTCACCCAGCACAGAGCCTGATGCAGGGCTTGATCGCTGGCCTGGGATCATGACCTGAGCCGAAATCAAGAGTCAGATGCTCAACCACCCAGGCGCCCCTCCAAGTATAATTTTTGAAAGTTGCATCTGGTGTTTTGGGTTTATATTTCTTTAACTACTAGTAAGGTTAAATAACTTTTCATAGGGTTCTTGGCTATTGACGTCGTGTACTTCAGACATTTCTGGTCATTAAAAGAATTATTCTTGCTGTTCTTCCTACAAGTGCTTCCTATGAATTCTGCCCATTGACCTGACTTCTGCTTCTGCTTCTGAGGTCTGTTCCAAGCGCCAAAGGGCAGTTGTTGAAATATTTGGAGAGCTCTACCAAAATCCAGCCGGTCTTTCTGTCTGTCCAGCTAACGTCCTCAACTCCTCACTCCTATAAGAGTGGTTTCTTAAATTGTTGGAGGATCTGAGTCCTCCCCGCTGGAGATTAATCCAGTTGGTAGGACTTTTCTGGAAGGCAGCGTACAGGAAAGGAGTCCCCTGGCAGGAGACACGTGGCCGTCTTCACACCGTCTGTTTTCCCAGGCTCACGCTCTCTGTCCTGTGCTGCGGCGGAGTCGTCCGTCCTGCAAACACGGCTCCTCTTCTGTTGTTTCTGTGGTTCCAAACCCCCCACCCCCAACGGCCTGCACAGGATGTTACAGACAAGGAGCAAAGCTTTTACGTTTCAGAGAACGTTCCTCATCCTCAGCCCGTGTGTTTCGGGGAGCACCCTCGGAGATGTGCTGCCCCTGGACTCTCTGGCTTCCCTTGGCACTTCTGCGCTTTTCAAGTGGCTTACAACCAATCCCGGGTGCATCTGTGACCCTTATACATAAGCTAGAGACCGCAGATTCTGTCTTTCTCCCAGCTTTATAGAGAGTGAGGTCTGTGGTCTGTGGTCTGCAGTGTCTTTCTGTTCTGCTTGTTTAGGGGATGGTTTCCAGGAGGGAAAGTGGGAAATGCTGATTTTAAACCGTGTTCATCCTGGAAGCCACCGCTTTGTTCCTAAATCCTCATAAGCCATGTATTTAATGACCAGTTATAAAGAAAAAAATTATTAAGGAGCAGTATCCAACATCGGCTTGGAGTTTGGACTTGCCTTTTTTGCTTAACATTCTTTTGCTTTCAGATATTTATATGTGAAAGTATCTTGGCATATAATTAAATGTGTGGATTTAAGTCATCTTATTTTTCCATTACCTTTTTCTTTCTTTAAGAAGTTTTTAAATGTTTTATGTATTTCTGAGAGAGAGAGAGAGAGAGAGACAGCATGAGCAGGGGAGGGTCAGAGAGAGAGGGAGACGCAGAATCTGAAACAGGCTCCAGGCTCTGAGCTAGCTGTCAGCACAGAGCCTGATGTGGTGCTCGAACCCACGAACGGTGAGATAATGACCTGAGCCAGAGTCAGACGCTTAACTGACTGAGCCACCCAGGCGCCCCTTTTTCCTTTCTTTAAAAAAAAAAACTTTTTTTAAAAAAATGTTTATTTCTGAGAGAGACAAAGCACAAGAGGGGGTGGGGGGGAGGGGGCAGAGAGAGAGGGAGATACAGAATCCAAAGCAGGCTTCAGGCTCTCAACTGTCAGCACAGAGCCCAGTGTGGGGCTCGAACTCACAAACCATGAGATCATGACCTGAACCGAAGTCAGACGCCCAACTGACTGAGCCACCCATATGCCCCTCCATTACTTTTTTCTAACGTACCTTGGGTTTCATCCTTGTCAGTCATATTTTTTGACCCTCCTCTCCTCCATTCCCTTGATGGATAAGAAAGAAGCAAACCATTTACCTCACACACCTATGGGGTGACTCTGGGCTTCTCCAGCCTTCCATGCCTTTTTAAAAGCAACAATGTTGTATTGCTATTATTTGCCCATATGTGAACTTTTCAAAAAGAAGGCTTGAGTCTCATTCTGTGGTGTATCCCTCCTCACTTAATGCACTTCAGAAATTCAGTGATGGGGAATGACCGCCTGAATGAGGAAGTCATAACTGAGGATCCCCCTCTTCATAGGAATTTATTCTGGCTCAGCTGGAAGAAGACGCTAAGAGATTATGGGCACAAGATTCTTCACATCAGGAAGAAAGGGAGGGAGGTAGAAGGGAGGAATTTTTTTTTTAATATATTAGAAAAAAATTTTAATGTTCACTTATTTTTGAGAAAGAGAGAGAGCATGAACAGGAAAGGGACACAGAGAGGGAAACACAGAATCCAAAACAGCCTCCAGGCTCTGAGCTGTCAGCACAGAGTCCGACACGGGGCTTGAATTCACAAACCACAAGATCATGACCTGAGCTGAAGTCAGAGGCTTAACCAACGGAGCCACCTAGGCAGCCCTTTAATATTTTTTAAATGTGATTTTTTTTAAGTTTATTTATTATGAGAGAAAAAGCACGAGTTGGGGTGGAGCAGAGAGAGGAGAGAGAGGGGGAGAATCTAAGTAGTCTCCACAGCATCAATGCTGAGCCCAATGAGGGGCTTGAACCCACAAACTGTGAGATCATGACCTGAGATGGTTGGGTGCTTAACCAACTGAGTCACCCAGGCTTTCCAGGAAGCTTTTCATCTCAGTAGACCAGCACCCTGGTGTCATGAAAGAGGCCAGCTTTGGGAGTCTGATGTATCCGAGCTCTGTCCAGTCCCCTCTGCATTCTGGTCGGTGTTTTGCTCATCATGGGCAACCTAATGAATTTCCCTAGTGCCTCAGTTTCCTCACATCATCATCTGTAAAGTAGTCTACAGTCATTGTTAACTGGGCTTTGGCAAATATTAAAGGAAACAACATAGTATAGTCATCGACACACAGTAGGTCCACAGAAAACTTTAGTTCCAATTTTTCCTGCCTTCTTCTCTTCCTGACTCCCATTATAGCTCATCAGATTCTTTTGCTTTAAAATTATTACTTTCCTTGGTATTTTCCACAAACCTCAGCCCTTCGTGAGTGGCAGCGTCTTGATGCTCTTTTCAGTCAGGTGCTGCTTGTTTGTCCTGCCTTTGGATAAGGATCTCCCCCTTTCTTATTGTCAAATACTCTTTTAAACTCTGGCCTCCTGGGAGAACACCCCTCCCTCGTCCCCCAGTGCAGCCACACAGGCGCGACAATGGCTGCCCTTTTCTTCCTGGCCAGGAACATTTATGATTGTATGGCTAGCGTTTTATTTTCCACAGACTTCCATCCTTCTTCATCTGTCATTCATATTATTGCTCTGGACAATAAAACAGAACTTACCTTTTTTATGAACTTTATGAAATGTGTATCCCTCAAGTGCACGGAAGGTGATGTCCATGAAGTTTTTCAGTCATGTGCACCTAGGAGTGAAAGCATTTTGTATCTGCATCTCCCAGTTATAGACTAGCTTTTAACTTGTAATTATGTAAATGTACTACAGTAATAATAGAAAATATAAAATAGAGTGCTCCACATAGAGATCTATACATTTATATACTATATATATACACGCACACATGCATAGACATGTCTATATATACGCACATAGAAGTTTATATAGTTGTACGTTATAGGACACAAAAATAGTAATAAAAAGGATGCATAGATAAAACAAATATACGTAGGCTGATTTGGGGTCTAGCTCAGCCACTTACCCTGGGCCAGAATTTTTTGGACTATACTTTAAAATTTCTGGATTCCTATGAAGGTCTGTGGTACTCAGGTCTGCCAGGGAATTTGGTTTTCAGAGAGTTTAATGAGCTTTGTTTTATGAAACTGGTAGAAATGCTGACCAAAGAGTTAAAGGTTTGGAAGCTCCAAGTGGCGCTCCCAAAGGTCACCTCTAAACGGCTATGTCTTGTGCTCAGCCTTACTCGGACCAAGCATCTATGTGTCTGGACAGCTACATCAGAAGGAGCTATAGAGCACAATTCTTGTAAACCATTAGCAACAGTGAAGTAGTAGCGTGCGCGGGCTCAGCAGTAAGGGGTGTTTCTTTGTTCTTTGTTACTCAGCTTCTTCCAGCTCTGACCAATGTGTCCATCACACGGTTGGTATTGACTCAGTCATGTTGTACCACATGGTATGCAGTGTGATCGGATGCTTCCTGAACCGTCCCGCCTTAGCAAAATTTGAGAAACTAGGGGGGCCTGATAGAGAACCCTAGCCCTTAGCTGGTGATTAGAACCCAGCATTTACCTAGTGACTTCAGAGTGTTCAGTATGTGTCAGGTGAATGCTTGTACTCGTTTCCTAGGGCTGAAAATACTAAAAATCAGGGCACCTGGGTGGCTCAGTCAGTTGAGTGTCAGACTCTTGATTTCAGGTCAGATCATGGTCTTGCAGTCATGAGATCGAGCCCCACATTGGGCTCTGCACTGGGTGTGGTGTCTGCTTAAGGGTCTCTGTCTCCCTCTCCCTTTCCCTCTCCCCTCTCTCTCAAAAAAGAAAAAAAAAGAATTAAAAATATGAGCTAAGTATTTTCTTCCACACCCCATGTACCCGCCTTGGGGCACACTCAAACCCCTCTGAAGAACAGCAGTCCAGGGTCCATGCCACTAAAGTTCTCGTTCCTTCCTTCACCTCTCAGTAAATCCTCAGGTTCTTGAGACATTTTTTTTCTCTTTTTACTTTTTTTTTTTTCAATTTAAACTTTAGTTAACATACACTGCAATTTGGTTTCAGGAGTGGAACTCAGTGATTCATCACTTATGTACCACACACAGTGCCTGTCACAAGTGCCCTCCTTAATGGCCATCTCCCATCTAGCCCATCCCCCCACCCACTCCCCGCCAGCAACCCTCAATTTGTTCTCTGTTGTTAAGAGTCTCTTGTGGTTGGATTCCCTCCCTCTCGTTTTCTGAGCCATCTTTCCCCCAAGCTTCCTGCCACTTCTGTATCTCCATCCTCTTCTCCCTTGATGAGGAACACTCAGCCCACCCTCTACTGTACCTTCGGTTTTCTCTAAGGTGAAATTATCATGAGTTACCACATGCTCTAGAAAGACGTGTCCTGCATATTTTGTTCTCAAGTTTCCAATATCTGCTTGATTTCAAAAGAAATGTTGGTAAACCAAGTAATGATTTTGGTTTTTTTTTAATTTTTCGCTTTGTTTCTTTTTATTTATTTATTTATTATCATCTTAATATAATTTATTGTCAAATTGGCCCAACATGCAGGGTGTAAAGTGTGCTCTTGGTTTTTGGGGTAGATGATTTAGCCCTCGACCCTGGAACTAAAGTATGTTCCCACTTAGGTCTTGATCCATCTTTGTAGATTTAAACATTTTTTTTAATGTTTATTCATTTTTAGAGACAGAAACAGCACGCCAGCGGGGGAGGGGCAGAGAGAGAAGGAGACACAGAATCCAAAGCAGGCTCCAGGCTCTGAGCTGTCAGCACAGAGCTCGACGCAGGGCTTGAACCCACGATCCGTGAGATCATGTCCTGAGCTCAAGTCAGATGCTTAACCGACTCACCCACCCAGGCACCCTTCTATCTCTGTAGATTTAAAATGACTAAGTCTAGCAAAGAACTAGGTTTTAAAAAAAAATACACATTACCACATTACTGGTTCAAAAGAGTTAATAGTTATTTAGGATCCTGTATCCACAAGTTTGACAGATTATCCATTATTGGTTGTTTTATCAACACTCTACATTAATTATTGAATTTGGAGTTGGCCTCTTGGGTACCACAGCCCTCAGATGGCACTGCTCCTGAGATAGAAGAGTGCATGGTGTTTCTGCTGTTTCAGGGAAGGGCGTGTTCTCCCCTGCTTAGCTGAATCACCATCAGATTAGCCAACTTCGCCTTCCTCCTCTCACAGGCACACAGACACGTGCATGGAAGGGCTTTGGGAGCAAATCTCAGCTTGTTGCTCACGAGTCTGAGGCGGGACATAACAGGACATGACATGAAGCTCTTTTTGCCTCCCGTCAGGGAGGACAGGGCTCTGATGGGGAAAGAAGAGGGGTGGGAGTGGGTTGAGGAGAGTGAGGTAAGGTGACAATGTTACCATATCTAGCATTCTTTTTTGTAAGTTTATTTATTTTGAGAGAGAGAGAGTACGAGTGGGGTAGGGGAAGAGAGAGAGGGAACGAGAACTCCAAGCAGGCTCCGTGCTTGTCAGTGCAGATCCCAACGCGGGGCTCGAACTCACAGACCGCCAGTTCATGACCTGAGCCAAAGTCAGCCGCTTAACCAACTGAGCCACCCAGGCGCCCCAACAATGGGGAATTATTAATCACTCTGTAGTGCCCATTAGTGCGACTGAAAAATATGTTGTCAAGAATTATAGGATAAATGCGTGTTTGTGTTAAGTTAGGAGGTACAAAGGAATATTTAGGATCATTTTATTAAAAATGCATATTTATGAAAACAATAGAAGGGAAAATACACAGGAAAATTCTCTAGAGTGTTACCTGGAAGAATCTCTGGCTAGAGGCATTTGGGACTATTTTATTTAATTTATCTTTTTCCTTATTTTTCAGTTATGCTACAGTGAATAGGTAACACTTTATAACCCAAAGTAATACATATGTTGTTGAATACATATGACTAATAAAAATCCCACAAATGTAGACTCTTCAGGTTAGTCACCAAGGATATATCCTATGACCTGTTCTTATCAGCCAGTACTCACTGGAATTACCTGAGCCTTCATCTGGGGCCTCTTCAAATCAGTCACTTTTGTTGACTGTTTTATGTCATTTTGAGACTTTAACTTAGCCAGCCTTTGCACGATTGAGATTATTTTGGTTACTTCAGTGGGTGACCCATAAAGTCCCCCTATTAATTAAAGCCATTTCTGTCCTTGCTGTTGATAAAACCAGAAACACCATTAACGTTGTAATGTTTAGCCCAAGAGATTACAACTGCCAAACTCTTCTGACAAATAAACAAGGCCTTCTGTTGCCTCTACTGATATTAGTAGCGTCCGTGTAAACACACGCAACCGTAGACAGGATGCCAACCACGCACTCTTAAAACCCTCATGAAGTAAGGAGGTGTGTATACAAAGGGCCTTCAGTGTGTGTGAAGAGGTAACCGGCCCTGTAAAATGATGGCGTTGTTTTGTGTTTTTGGTTTGTTTTCTGCCATACAGACAGAGCTACGACATTCAGATCGTGGCGCTGGTAAACCAGACAGGCTTCAGATCTGGGAACATCCTCGATCTAAAGAATCCTTTCTTTAGGTAAGAAATGCTCTTGTCACGGCCATGTATATAAAATCTCAGTGGACCATATGACCAGGTAAAGAGGTCCAGAAGAATTCCAACCTTCCTAAGAGAAGAGGCGTGTACCCTTCCTCTTTAAGGAGACTTAGATCCTGAGATGGAGTTGAGTGTTTTCTGTTCCATTAAATGGAATTCAATGTGTGACAACCTGATCCTGCAACCATTAAGAGAGTCCTTCAAAGTGAACTCTTGTTCCAAATGAGCTATAATGAGCTATGTGACCTGGGGTAAAGTCAGTTCCTTCTGGCATTTGGTTTTCTCATCTGCACGATGTGGAATTTAGTTATGGGCTCCTCTGACCTTCACTCACTCATAGAAGGCTTTGTGGGTGTTTATTCCAATATACCTAAAACGTGAAGGGCGTTTAAAGTACGTGTATTGCAAGATATTTTTTGAGATCCTGGAAGTTAGGACAAAGCCCTCTTTACAAGCTAGGCAGGTGTTGTGTGGTGTAAAAACCTACCACAATGAGATGGATGTGACAGATGTTTCTGGAAGAATTCCCCGTCTTTACACCTCGTCCATATGAGCCCATTAAAAATCCACCCATGAGATCAGCCCCACAATTAAAACCACTGGGCACTGTCACTCTTGACTTTCCTACCAAAACAAAACAAAACAAAACAAATTGTTCCTTCATATTATAATGTCTCCCAAAGCTTTTTATTCAAAGCATCATGTCTCTGTAGTATTGAAAAGCATAAAGAGAAGAAGAAACATGGGAAACCAAACCAAGAGTTCTTTGGCAGAGTTGAGAAAATGAAATTGTGACCTTGAAGCATGGGAGGCAAAACACAGGCAAAACTTCCATTGTTTATGGTGTGTTCATGTTGTCACGCATAATATGAATCTTAAAATGCTAGCCATTTAGGGATATGGATGCCATCTTTAACTCTGAGGGAAGAGGGGAGTTCTCCCTCCCATCCCTCTCCACAGTCCTGTCATGTAAAGTCAAGGGCACAGATTGTGGCCTTAGAACATGCTGACTATTCACTAGGACAATTTGAAAAGACTAGGCCTCAGTCTTCTCATCTGTGAAATGGGATTAACAACACATGTCTCACTGAGAGATCTCAAGGGTGTCCTTAACATGTCCAAGCACTAAGCAGTTCTTGTTACTGGTATTCAGTAATTGCCAGTTTCTGGCCTTTCTCCCTTTTCTTGCTGGTGTCTGTGCCCCTCCTCTCTCAGGAGGTAAACAGATGCCGATCTTAGTTCATTCCAAACAGAATCATTTGGATTTGGGACGAGGAAGTGAGTTTTTGTAGCGTTTTAGAAAACCCACCTTTTGAGTGCAAGAACCATGCCAACTAGAAACTTGAGTCCTGTTTCCACTTTGTCTTACAAGAACAAGATTCTAACCAGGAAACACAGAGACCTTGAACTTGGCCAGCCCCTGCTTTGCATGAATGCACAAACCCAGTGGCCATAAGGTCAAAGCGAGGGCTGGTCTAGGTAGAATGACACGCAAGATGCCCACAGCACTGTCAAAGTAGACACGCTGTTGAGCGAGGGTGCAGGGGCAGTGGATGCCTTTCCTTTTCCCTTCTTCTCTCACTCAGCACCACGGCTGACTGACGTATTTAATTAATTAAGCAGATAAGGGTGCTTAAAAATGTGACTCCCCTAGGCACTTGAGATCTTTTTAACACTTCTTCGCCAACCCTTTCCTAATATCTAGACCACAGTATCCTAGTGTCTAGGCACACCCGTGAAGATGTGTGCTAAATGGCCAAATCTTTGAAGAGCACTTAGCAAGGAGTGCATGCTCAGATAAATGTTCAGCTGTGGTAATACCCTTCTTCTGGTCCCTTACAGTCACAGCATCTGAGAAGCAGCCCAGGTGTGTGTGTGTGTGTGTGTGTGTGTGTGTGTGTGTGTGTGTGTATTGAGGAGAACTAAAATAAGTGGGACTACCCAGAGGAATTATTGGTAATTTAGAGATAATGATTGGTAATTTCTTTATCAAAATAAATAATTTTCTCTCCATTGCTTCATTCTACCCATTTTTAGGGCATAATAGATTTACACACAAAAACAAAAAATTGATTTGGTGTTTGGCTGATCCCTGGTACCGTCTAAATACATCTAAGTGGCATGCTGAAAATATCCACCATTAAATGTGATGTGCAGGTTTCTGTCTTCCCTTAGGCAGGCTAGGGAGACTTTTATTTTCACTATTAATTATTTTAAAGTAATTTGAAAATAAGGGCTAACAGATGTTGCTAAAAGTGAGCGAAGGGACAGAACTACTTCATCAGCAAGGGAGAGCTCTCCAGTAACCCGGTAAGGTCTCCAAGGACTGTGAGGCCAGTCCTTCATCACTTGGGTCCCTCACAGTCTGTCCCCAGGTCTGGCGGGTGGGCTCCGGAATAGGAGCAGAGACCAGGACTGATGCAGTCCCTGCCTCCAGGAAGCCTGCCTTGTAGTGGGAGGGAAGGCAGGGCCTTAAACAGCTAACTGCGTAATTAATTACGTCATGATGATTGCAATGAGTGACAAGTAGGAGGGGTAAAGGGTGCCAAGAGAGCATTGATGGGGAGACCTAGACTAGAATGAGTCCGTAAAACCCACCACTGGTACCCCACACCCAGCAATAGCTGGAGAACCTACATGGTGGCCAAGTTTATTTCTTTATTTTGAAAGAGAGAGAGAGAGAAAGAGAACAAGCCGAGGAAGGGCAGAGTGAGGGAGAGACTCAGAGAATCCCAAGCAGGTTCCACTCCATCAGCACAGAGCCCCACGTGGGGCTTGAACTCACAAACCACAAGATCATGACCTGATCAGAAGAGCTCGAGACACTTAACCGACTGTGTCACCCAGGCGCCCCAAGCGAGCCCGCTTCTAAGAAGCCTTTCAAGGCCAAGGCTGGCTTAGATGTCCCTCCCAGATCACTCGGCTCTGTGCAGATACCACTTTGAGAGCATAAGTCTCAATTCTTGGGGTTTCTTTGTTCTGTAGCCCCTCCTACCTTGCGCACGGGATCATGCCTACTGCTGTTTGTAACACAGTGTTACCCAGCAGGTGCTGGGTACATGTGTGATGGATGGGTGAATGAATGCAGCCCCATGGAGCTCCTGAATGGCCCCAAAAGAACAGAGTTTGTAATCAAAATGCTGTGGCTCCAAGAGCATGTCTTCTTCCATGCTGCGGCTACGAGCCAGCGCCCTGTCCCCTTCACAGCCTCTCCCAAAACAATCTGATGCTTCTCTTCTCCCAAACACGAATTCCTTCAGTTTCGCCAACTGAACTATCACTTCCCTTCTTGCTTTTTTCCAATGAATTTATTACGTAGTTGTGAGCCAAAAGTTCTTCTCAGTGCTAGGGTATAACAGAGAATGATGAGAGTACGAATTCCCAGGTCTTGTGGTTCTAGAGAGTCTCCTCAATTGGTTGGTCCCCTGATAGACATCAAAGAAGTAAACAAATAAGAAAATTTCAAATACCGGTAGTTTTTCTGAAAACGATAAATAAAGTAATAGCTACCTGATCTCAGAACTCACACTAAACCTACGGTAATCAAGGCAGTGTATCCTGAAGAAAGGACGCACGTAGGTGAATGGAATGGAATAGAGGTCAGAAATGGACTCACACATGTACAACCAATATGATTTTCAGCGTACCTGCAAACAATTACATGGAGAGGTGATGTTCTTTTCAGAAGTGGTGAGGGAATAATTGGATGTCAATATGCAGTCAAATTAGTGACCTACCACCCATATGTCACACCATCAGAAAAATTAATTCAAAAGAGATCATGGATTGAAACATAAAACCTAGAAATGTGAACACTTGGAGAATAAAACATAGAAGAAAACCTTTGTGATCTTGGGTTAGGCAGACATGTCTTGGATGTGACGTAAATCCTGATAAGGGAAAAATGATAAATTGTCCTGTATCAAAATTTAAAACGTATCTTTGAAAGACGATGAAAAGAAGCATTATACACTAGGTGAAACTATTTGGAAGTTGCGTATCTGAGGAAAAAATAGTATCCAGAATATGAAAAGAATGTATGCTCTGATACTCTCAAAAAAGCCCAGTAATAAGAAAACAGTTTTGGTAAGAGCAAAAATGTGAACAGACCCTCCATCATAAAATGATATAATAGCAAAGAAGCACAAGAAAAGATATTCAGCATCATTAGTCAATAGAGAAATGAAAACTAGAGCCATCATGGCTACTGCCATTAGATGTATACACCTGTTAGAATGTCTGGAATAAAACTTCGGACAATACCAATTGCTGGTGAAGATGTGAAGCTGTCAGAATTCTCATTCATGGTTGGTAGGAATATAAAACGGTACAGACAATTGAGAAGATAGTTTGACGGATCCTTATATAGTTAAAAAAAAAAAAATTCACTTACCATATGACCCAGCAATCTCACTGCGAGGTACTTACGGGAGAGGAACACTCTATCTGAATGTTTATGGTAGTTTTATTTGTAATCACCCAAACTGGAAATACCAAGAGTACCCCGCAAATGGAGGATGAATAAACTATGATCCTTCCACACAATGAAGTGATTTTCTGTAAGGAAAAGGAAAGACCTGATAAAATAATACATATGAGTCTCAAATAAATGAAGCTAAAGAAATTGAGAGCAATCAGACTGAAAAGGCTACATAATGTATGATTCCATTTCTATGACATTCTGCAAAAGGCAACCTTCAGATGCAAAGAACAACTCTGACCTGGGCTTGGGGAAGGGTTGGCTATAACGAGATAGGGCAACACTTGGGGGAGATGGAACTTTCTAGATCTTGATTGTAGTAGTTGTAGTACATGTCTGTATGCATTTATCAAAGCTTGCAGAACTACAATAGAAGGTGAATTTTACTGTATGTGAATTTTTTTTTCTCAATTACATGAAAACCTACCAAAAATAACCCCACCAAAACTACATAAAGGGATAGCAGGAAACAAATAGAACATTGTGCTAGACAGTGGCAAGGCCAGGGACGGCAGGTGGGTGGTGCTTACACTGAGTGGTCTGGGAGGCCTCTTGGAAGACGTGGCAATGAGTGGTGACTTAAAGTCAGGAAGGAACCAGTGTGCAACCAGAGCCACCATCTACAAACGCCCAGTAAAGGGCAAAGGCCTGAGGCGAAACAAGCAAGGAGAGAAGTAAGTTGGTGCTTAGCCTTTGCTGTCAACCTATAAAAAAAAGAGAGAAAGAAAAAGTTCTTCCAGTGAACAGGAATCTGGACCATCATCTCAGATCTGAATTTAGGCTATGCATAATCAAACTTACTAAATATAGTGGGTAAATATAGATCTAAGACTGCCCATAGTAAAAACTCGGGGAAGGGCATGGGAGTGGGAAGGAGGAGGGGCAGGGGACCGGGAGGGAGGGAGGGGAGAGGAACACAAAACCAGCTTGCCTGCGCCTTTGGATGGAGGTGGGACTGACTTACTCTGAATCATAGAAATCACCTTCTCTGTTGTAGGTTTGCTTAGAAGATAGTCACAGCCAATCAATCAATAAGTAAAAGGAAGACCCGAGAAGCCCCTCAACGTCCAGGCTCATATTTCATGTTCCAAACATGTACTCCGCATTTTACAAGGATGATTAGGTTTCTTTAAATTCATCCCCTCCCCCCCCCCCCCCCCCCCCCCCCCCCCCCCCCCCCCGCTAACTCTAAAATGTGCCTCCTAGTTTCGTTGGCAAATCTGTATCTTGCTACTTCTGAGACTGGCTCCCTACAGCTTCCTGCATGTCGCTGAACCTTTTTTCTTTTTCAGTGTGTGGTTTCTCTTTATTATTATTTCAGGAAAGCCAACAGCATTGCTTTCGTTTTTAAAGTATTTAAAAACAGGAATGTAACCAAACCCTACCTCATGTTTATATGTATGACGTAACAGGAAAGCATGTGAGGAGTGATCTTCAATTGACAATTTTAAGCTGTTCTCACAAATACGTTCAGCACATCAGCAGCTCATTTCTAGCTCAGCCATGTGTGAAAGGATTTCTGCCTTCTTCACGTAATGGAATGATACGATGTCAGGAACGTTCTTCATCGGCGATATCTGATGACTGTGTGTTTGTAAGAAAATAAAGACGGAAACGTTGTCAGTTCTCCTAGGTTTACAATAAAAATGCACAGTGCGAGATACCAACGAGGCCTCTCCTTTACTTGAAGACTTTGTTACATGCCACACGTCAAATGGTGATAAAAAGATGATCTGTGCAAAGATCAGGTTCCCCCTGGCCCCAATGGCTCTTATAAAAATGGATGTCACACCAGCACATGAGCTAACGAAGTGCCCAGCAGCCTGCTCACCATGGGGGGGGGGGGTGCAGGGAGCTGGATTAAACCACAAGTACCTGTATCCTCACCAGCCGGGCGGTCATCCACAGCTGTGAGCTTTGGCTCACTCTGGCCACTGTGTTCCAAACAGTCTTGCCCTCCCATCCAGCCCAGCAGTCTTACTCACATCACTGTGGGGCTCACTTACAGTGCACCTTCCCCAGTGTGCGTCCTGCCCACGTTCCAAGCTCACCAAAAGGATGCCTTCCAAAGCCGACACATCTCCTGTCCATCCCTTGATCTAACCTTCCTTGCAGTTCTGTATGACCCTGGACCCTAAACACACGCACATCTTTCTCTTGTTAACCAACTTCTTTGTGGGTAGGAGTGAGTCCAATTCACTTTTTAATTTCCTGCAATGCCTAATGGTACACCCATGCATCAGAGGTGCTCAATAAATTTACATTGATTTAGGTACATAAGTTTATCCTGAAGTTAAGAGTCATTGTAATTATGGAGTCAGGCCTGATGACCTTGTAATTGCCTTTCAAGCAGAATAGGCAGAAAGCGGTAAACCCTCCAGCGCTGAAGCACTGTATTGCTGCCACCTCCGGCTCCACCCACACCCAGAGCAGACATTCCTAGTCGATCCCAGCACTACTCCCCACCCAACCCGACAGGTGCTCACAGTCCTTCTCAGCCCACACTCTAGGAAGACATTATCTCTGCAGGAGGGTGCAAGAGGTAAAAACCAGGACTTTTAAGGATGCAAAAAAATTAACAGTACTTCCCAATCTTTGAATGATCCCAAAGATAGGTAATATGTATGAATTGTAATTTTACTGAAGCACAAATTTGACACAGATATGTGTAATGTATACAGTTATATATACATATATATATATATTTATATAATAGTCATTTAGAGAATGCATCTGTATATAACCAATAACTCTCCTGATATATCCCTTAAAAATGTTTTTCATCCTCGGGGCACCTGAGTTGGTTAAGCTTCCTATTTCAGCTCAGGTCACAATGTCATGGTTCGTGAGTTCAAGCCCAGAATCAGGCTCTGTGCTGACAGCTCAGAGCCTGGAGCCTGCTTCGGATTCTGTGTGTGTGTCTCTCTCTCTCTATCACCCCTCCTCCAGCTAATGCTCACTCGCTCACTCTCGACAATTAATAAACATTAAATAAATTTTAAAACATTGTTTTCATCCTTTTTACCTTAAATCTGGAAATGTAAAAAATGTTTTTAGTTTTGCTTTTTAAAAAATGGGTACCATAGGGTAGAGTTTATTTTAGTGGGAAATTTAGTAAGTTTACTATTTATTCCTGTCTTCATATCTATAGAATTATTAAGAATCAAAGGAGATTGCTTAGGTGTTAATTTATTGTGTTTTGTGGGGAAATCATATTGCCATAGTGTCTGCAAACTTGAAAGTGACCTCAAAACATGTCCGCTGTGAATATCAAGAGTAGATTGTGGATCTGGGGAAATCTTGGAAATCTCAGTCTTTAGTGACAACAACGCATTGTAATTAAGGCCAGAACCGAGTGGAGTCACAGCAGGTTAGCAGGAATTGGTGTCAGGAGCTGCTCTGAGATAGCTCGAGGCCAGCTCACCTGTGGGACCTGGAAGTCACACCACCTGAGCAGCTCCAGATCCTATACCAAGAAGTCAACTTTGATGCCATTAACACAACACTCTGACTGAGAACACCCTGCACAATTAATTTATCATATCTCCTAACAAGAAGTCCAGATGTAGCATGGATTCAAGAACTGATGACAGTGTCTCAGTGATTTCATCAAAGACTAAGGCCCTTCCTACCTCGTAGGCCAGCCCCCCTCAAAGGCAGAAGGCCATGAAGGAAGTTACAGGAGTCACATCCAGACAGAGGGACGTCCAGAGTCATAAAAGAGTCAATCACTTCTGGCATCTCCTCTCAAAATAATGATGATGATAGATGACACATAGCACTTAGTATGTACCAGATACTTTTCTAAGTGATTTACAATTATCAACTAATTTTTATCCTTACCACAGTCCCATTAAGTATGTATTATAATTAACCCCCTGCAACAGATGAGGAAATGGTGGTAAATAAGGTTAAGTAACTTTCCTAATGACACGTAGCTTGTAAGTGGTGGAGTCGGGATTATAAACCAGGCAGTGCACTTCCGAGTCCATGCCCTTAACCACCAAGTTATCTCTATTAAGAAAGCCTTTCCAAAAGCAACCCAGAGCCTTGCCTTCATGCTTAATTGGCCAGAACCGAATCACATGACCGTCTCTAAACCAATCACCGAAAAGAGACATGAGATTACCACAGAGATAAGCCAATCAAGATTTATCACAGAGCTGGAGATAAATTCATCTTTCCCAAGGGACAGAACCTGAAAAAAAAGTAGAATTCTATTCCCAAAGAGGGGAGATTGATACAAAGCAAGGAAGTGGCATCTCCTGCTATGAGGTACTGCCTAAAAACAGCCCAACTTGACTACTAATTCCATTTCTTCTGCTTTGATAAGGCAAGAGAGTGCATTCCGTAGTTATCCATGCGTGTATCTTGACCTCCTCTCTTGCTTGTAAGCACTCCAAAAGTAAGAACACATCTCACAAATCTGCCTATTCCCCACAAGGCCTGGCATAGGGCCTTGCACACAGAAAGTGTTCAAGAAATGTTTGTTCATTGTAATTGGATTTTCATTCTCAAGTCTACTTAATTGAAGAGGTCAACAGTTGGCCATGCTCAAGGCAGGCAGATAATGCATTTTCACATTGATCTAACAATCAAATGAATTCTGAGAAGCTTCCCTTGCCATGCAAAATAGCATAAAATCACACATTAACATAGGTCAGTGCAAAAGCCCAAATTTATTAAATTGTTAGTGTCTTGCACTCAGCACCCTCGGAAGTAACATTAATGTCACATTTTTATTACAACTTGACATTTTCACTGTATTTCAAGAAACACATCAGAGAATCATAAGAGAGCAGGCTACGTCATTTGCACAACCCTACACAAAAAGAAGACGCAGACACCGGTCTGGGTAGATGAGTTAATCTCCTCTTTTCTGGCCCTGTTGCCCTAGCCTTCAGTAGATAGATGACCCCCAAGAGATAATAACTTCCCAGGATTGGGAGTGGGTGAAAAGGTCGCATGGAGTCTCCCACTGAACTTACTGTGATCAAATGAGCCCACAGCAGAGATTAACATTGCCTTTCCCTACCCCAAGAAGTAGCAGGATGTGTGCTTGACCTTGATCCTACCTGTGCCTGGACAGGGCAGAGTGTAGCAGTGCATCACCCCCACCCGGTCACTGCAGTCATCAGAGGCAGGAGCAGAGACATGGGAAGCCAGGCAGAGCCTGAAATCTGGAGGGTGGATGAGCTCTCATCCCAGAGGGGCAGTAGGGAGACAGGACTACCTGTGAGATAAGGCTTCAAGCCCCAGGTGCAGGGTCCATGGCTCCATCATATTTCACTTACAAAACACAAATCCAAACATAAAAGTGTTTATGGATTTCAAGATGACGATCAAAGGGCATTAAACCCCACACCCTTCTGAGCACAGGATCCTATGAGCCAGCACTGATCACACTCCCTGGCCACAGAGGTGAGGTGCAGTACCGTGTTTCAATGGAACATCCATCCGTGGAGAAGATAGACACAATTTTAAGATGTGCTATTGTAAAAAAGCTTCTTGAATGAATGAACTTATCTAATGGAATGGGAGAAGAAGTTGGGCAGTGAAGAGGGTAATTGCTCCCCGTACAAGTGTTCAGCCCATGTCCCATTCAGCAGCTCCTTTCCAAAATGTATGCCATGGCCACTTTGGACTTTATCCTGCAGGCAGGCAACAGGGAGGCTTCTCTGCATTTTTTGAGTGGAGGAGAAACATAATCAATGGATCTCTTTGGTGACTGTGTGGAGAAGGAATTCAGGGAAAAATAGACACTGGGCAGGCAAATCAATGAAAGTCGAAACGGACTCTTCGTGAAAATGACATAGCACAGAAGCTAAAGGTTTGAGCTCTTTAGTTAGAGATACCTGGGTTTAAATCCTAGTTGCTGCTTCCTAGAAAGACTTGAGCCAGTCACTTACTTTCTCTAGCTTCACTTTCTATATCTGTTGAAGTGAAGGAATAGTGGAAGGATTCTTTGTGAGAGTTGAAAGAAACGACTATATATGAGGCACATGACAATGCCTGGGTCATAATGTGATTATATTATCGTAGGCAATGAATTCTTGCTAGTTTCTCTTAGTCTCACATTTATACACCTTTTAAAAGTTCTGTGCTTCCATTTACAAGAAGGAAACACCCACACTCCTGACCACCACCATCTACGAGACTCTGTCCCCTCTGCAGCCCATAATTCCTTGGGACAAAAGGGGTGACCTTTCATTCTGCTACTTCACAATCTTATGCTCTGCCTTTGGGCAGCAGCCTCAAGGCCTAGTTCTCCACGATGGTATAGCATCCTCTCTACAGAAGGAGCTCTTGGCGACGTCTTTCATTTACGAAAGGAATTTAGAAAAATCCACCTTGTGTTCATAGCCTAATTTTAAACATATCATCTTGCTAAAGAAATCACCTCATTCATTCCTTCATTTATTCACCCTCTCTTGCCCCAGGTCATAAAGGATGATGATTTAAGAAAGAAAGAAGAATACATTACTTTGATATGTAAGGTAACTTGTCTCCATTAAAAACAGAATTCATCATTGTTAAAATAACATAATAAGTAAAATAATTTATGGACATCCCACTTACCTATAACTGACCAGGATCCAAGTTATGTCGGGGACACAACAAAAGCAACTATACCTCACAATTACCAGAGGCTCTTGGCACGGGTTCC